GGCTGGCATGTGGCATCCGGTAGTAACTGCTTCGAGCAGTGGATCAAATTACTTACCGCAATGTTTTGGGTTGTATTATAATTGCCTTTGCTTTATTCAGTTTCCAGTTTGCGGGTTGCGGCAACTCAAAGATCCCTGCGGGGATATGCGTGGTTGTTTAAGAAGACGAGTACAGGTGACAAAACACGTCCACTCCGGCCGCTCTCTATAGATGACCTAGTGCACTTACCGCCGCGCTGCTGTTGAATATGTCTACTCCATCCAGACTAGCTCATCACCGAATGAGATGCGTTTTGTGTCAAGGTCAACAAAATATTTGTCTCCATTGTTTGTTTGGACTCCTTCCTGTTCTCATAAGCAACATTTGGTCTTCCTTCTTTTGCAATTTTGTTTTAAAGCGTTCGGTCAACTGTTACCTGTAGTGTCCCTAGGCCAAACTCACCGATATTTTCTGAAGGAAATCTACTTAATAAGCGGGAAGGGCAGAAAAGAATCCGACCGAACGATCTTACCACTTCATTCTTGCAACCCATCCCTAAATCGTTTGTTTGTTGGAGAGAGAGAAGGATAGCTTAAAAATAAATGACAAAACTGGTAATTGACAGCGTTATCTGACTGCTTTAAAAGTTCCGAAAACTGTTTATTGTGATGTTTGTGGACTCTGAAACGTATACGACGTATAAATGCATGCATAAACAGGACTTTATTCGGCACTTTTTACAGAATCTTACAAATTGTTCTCATTCCCAGGTTGATTCATAGTCACGATCGATGTGGTAATTCATTACCTATGGTTCTTTTGGAGCAATTTACCAGTTTGAGATAATTTTCTCCGCTCTGTATAAACTACCGTCTAAGAAAAATTTGGTTTGATCTGGTAGGACGAANGACGAACTCCATCTCCTTGTTCAATACTACTTACTAACGGTGCGTTTGTGGTTAGTGGGTAGTGAGAACGAGGTAGTTCTATTTGATGGCAATTGAAAATCATCAAATCTTTTTCGAATAATCAGCGATATCTGCACCAGCGGGACCTGATTATTAGACGAGTGAATTCCTCTGATTAGCGGTTTATCATATGTTCGTTTGAACTACCTCTTGGCTATCTGAGAACTCGTTAGGTCTGATTTGGAAACAAGTTCAACTCAACAATTAACCTTTGCTGCCGTTTTTTGAATATAGCATCGTACTTTCGATAGAGTCCAGCTGCTGAATATTCACCTATTGATTGATAATGTGACCTCGAAAAAGTAATGTAATCACATTAAGATTCTATTGAAATTATTGTCAGAGAGGCTTATCGAATAAGTTTGACGTTTTACGTCCTCCCACGGAGTAGATTACCGTAATACATATCTAGCCTAACGATGTGCAAATTTTTGAATCAAAGAAAGAACTAAACTGGAGGGACACGAATTAGTTGATTTGAGCTACTGCACACTTTCACTTAAGTTGATTCGTTAAATATACCTTGCAGAGAAAATTTCCTCTATTTGGAAAATGTTTTAATAGACTGAGCTTGTTCGTTTTCAACATAGGAGGCCTTTCAATTCCCCATGCTAATTCGCCTCCATAGCTATTAAGAAACTTTAATCTATTCGGCTTTTGTAAAAACGACCTTCGCAACAGTTTAAATTCAAGTATTTTAAATGTGAAATGCAACGATAGAAAGTTACCCCCACCCCCTTCCACTTAGGGCTTCTTTTGATAAATGAACTCCAAAAGTGATTGAAACGGACTATCCTTTAGATTTTACCTGAACTCATAGTCATCAGTCTATTCAGTCAATCACACATTAGGGAGGAACTGGATACCAATTTCACGCTTTTGAAATCAATCAATAGTGCATACCTACCCACCTGTCTGAGATGAGAAGTTCAAACCTGTGTGTGTGTGTGTGTGTGTGTGTGTGTGTGTTCAAAGCCACCGTGCAAGCCAGTTCACTAGAATTTCCTGTTGAAGTCTGTTCAAGCTTCTCCTTCAACTATCAAAAATAAATTCAATAGACCACTCATGACAGACACAGCATACTGGTTCGTAACTTCAATCAAACGCCTTCCAGGAATTCAGGTTTGGGCAAATGTATCATTTAGGCCATACCACTACTCGTGAGAGGTTTTGAGTTAAAGGGCATTTCACTAGTTTGAAAAATCTATTCGACACTGAATATGGACTCTCTTGTTTTCCATTTTAGTTAAATATTTCCCCGAACCAAGACAATGCATTCAAATGGAAGTGCCAAGGCTTCAGGTTAATAAGCTTTTGTGTGTATCGATGATATATTCGAATGACGTTTGCTTATTTCCATCTTCTGTCACAATTACTTGTGAGTAGTTGTCCACATTTTTGCCTTCGAGTGACCAGAAGAAGAGTTCAGGGTTGTGCGCTAAGATAGAATATGAAGAAGATGAGTCAATGAAACATTATAATATGATTGCGGTTGTTAGATAATCGATCATTGTGTATTATTATGTATTATATATATATATATATGTAACCCTATCCATGATTTGGAATCCTATTTATTGATTTTACCTGCCTATTCACGGTTCAAATTTTCTGCAAAGCGAATAAATATTATTTTTATTGTCATTTAAATGCATTAAATATTTCCTTTTTATCCCTTTCATTTTATCCAACTGTTTAGTACATAGCAAATACAAGTATCATGAACTTTTAACGATTATACACTCCTTTTAATCTAAACATTGCAAAAACTGCTTTCAAAACTGTACTAAATTGAAGTATGCAGAATACACCCTATTGAGAAAAAGAACTTAGATCACATTCTCTTCAAGCGGTACGACTGTGCTATTGATTCGGATTGGGTTGCTGTCAATAGCTTCGAATTATGATTGCGTAATAATACCATGAATAAAAATATCCGGTTCAGTGTTCACATTTTGTTGTGATCAAAAATCGATGACACCAGTTCAAATCCGGAGTCACCTAGCAGTTTTTGATTTTTGCCCAAACTGACCTTGTGATATTTCATTTTATATATTTTATATCACACGTATGATGCTCTGGAAATAGAACTCAGGAACCATTTGCGAAATTCTGATGAATACATCCTATTCCACAAGTTTGCCTTCACAAAACGAGCCGCATAAACAGAAGCTCAAATTCAGCCGGATTCCAATGGTTTCATCTCAGCATGAATAAATGGAAGTATTCCTATGAACTACGTTGGTCCCCTCTGAAATTGGTTTCCGTTCTCCTAAAGCCTTTCATTCATATTTTGTGCTTGTATTTGGCAATCAAGATAAAAGGACTGTTAGATCTGTTCGGGATCTAGGCCAAGGTTGAGTGACGCTCCAAGCCAAAAGATGGAATCCACCTAGGTACGATTGATTTACTGGCGTCCAATAAAGGCGGTACTACAGGTAAATAATGGTTACATCACCATCACAGGTACAGACCTCAATTCGTGGCGTTCTCACAGGGAGTTCACCGAACAGTCAATCGATCAAGGCTGATACAGATAGCAGCTACTGGGGCCAATCGAGTGGACAAAACCTTCGGTGGCCGAACAAAGTAAAACCGGAGGGACGGAGGATAAAAACCGAGGGATACAGGTAGACACAACCGACTGTCACGAGGACTGTCTAATCACAGTCGGGGCACAAGGTCACAAAGGTGACGTCACAGTAAGCGAGGGGACATGTGCCGGAGAAGGTGCGTGTTTGTGTGTGTGAACGAGAGAGGGACACGTATGCGTGTGTGTGCATGCCTGTGGGGAGGCAATCGGAAGGTCACATGATCGAACATGAATTAGCAGCGGGTGCCGACATAGGGGGTGGGGGTGGGATGCCAAGTGGACATGGAATCGAGTAAAGTGGTCAAGAACGTGGGCGCATAGATAAACTTACGTGAAGGTAAGCTACCGTGGATCAAAGTCAAATCGATAAATGCGATCAATAAGCGACCGAGAGCAACGCATACTGGGAACATTGGGAGGAACCGGTAAAACAGATTCAACACCGCCCCCTCAAAGCCGACATGGCTGTTACTATGACTCCACTCTTTTACATGCGCCCTCAGAACGGTCCCATACGAAAATGGTACTATTTACTCTTGCCACAATCGCAGAAAACGAACCGAAAGGCGCCCTACTCAAGAGTGGTTACCCTATTGGTCGTCGGCCCCTTCTAGTGGACAACTTCCGAATGTCTCACAGAGTGTCATTTTGGAGATCTCACGGTCGTCTGTCGTACCCGCCCATCTAAATTAAGTTTGACCTCCGTTACGATACCCTTTGACCATGTCCCGCGAGGCTGATTTTCATCCAGTATAAGGACCAAATCTCCTGTCCGTAGGTTTCTATGAGCTTGTCTCCTTTTGTTCCGAGTATTCAACGAGGGCAGGTACTCCGCTGTTCAACGTCACCAAAACGTGTCTGCGAGGAGCTGGCTTTGCCTCCACTGACGAGTACACCGCTCGCGTAGGTCCACTTCGGTTCCGATTATATGGTTTTGTTCCCTCAGTAACAGCAACCATCTGGGCGAAAGAGCTCTCGCGGTCTCTGGGTCATCGTATACAGGGACTAGAGGACAGTTATTCAGGATGCGTTCGACTTCTGTTAGGTAGGTTTTCAATGACTCTTCCGTCAAAGTCTGCTCCCGTCGGTTCCCTCTAGTTTTCCACTTCTCCTACACCGATCGGATGCGTTCGAAAGCTGGCTTATCCAAAACACAGTTACAAAATGGTGCAATAAACTCCAGTAAAGCTGTACAGGAAAGAATACCTCGTCTAGTAGCCGGACGATTAGGAAGATTTACCTTGAATGTAAAGCAATCGTTCTTTATGTGTCAATACTAACCAAATGTTTTTGGAATCACCGAGTCTGCGAGGTTGAGACTGACTAGTGAGGATGCTTTCTCGCTTGTTGTAATGGAATTTAGTACCGGGCGATGTAGAACAAAATGTACCTCTTTTACCTGATGCTTCAGATTGCTGCGAATGTAGCCCTTTTTCTCGTTAGTTTCCATTACATCGGCTTATCTACACAGCAGTTTCGGATCTCTTTGGAGTTGTACTCGCAGGTTATTTACCCTTCTCTCTGCTAGATATCGATAAAAGGGAATATCACGCCAGTTTTTCTTCCACGGTAGATGAAGCTGAAAATGATTCCCCACAACAGTTGCTGAACTTCGAACGGTTTCTGGGGCCAACTTGTCCTCCTGGGAGTTCGCCAACTCATCCTTTTGGTTATCCTCAACGAATTTGATTTCAAAGAGTTTGGTAATTTGCGACTGCATCGTCCTCTCCGTAGCTAGACAATTGACAGATCTTGCGGAAGAACGCTCCCCTCTCGCGGGACCGAGCAATACCCATCCTATAACTGTTTTTAATGCGTAGGGTTGTCGGGAAGTTCCGATACGTTGATCTTGTGCTTCTGGAGTGTTTGTGCCAATCAGCAGATCAACAGTATTATTTTGGATTTTCTCGAAATGTATACCCTTCAAATGAGGCCAGCAATTCATAGTTTCAGGTGGGTCGTAAGCTACTTGTATAGGTAGTGATTCGAGCGTGTAGGCCTTCTCCACTTGCAGCTGATGATCAGCATCTAATGATGGAACCGCAAAGTTTACCTCCGAGGTTGTTTTACAAGTAATTCCGGCTAGCAAGGTAGCTCGGATTCTCGTTACTGGATCTTCAATACTCAAAGTCTCGGCGGCCGCACAGGACAAGAGGGTGGAATCTGAGCCATTGTCGAGAAAGGCGTAAGTTTCTTTCGACCCCTTTGGTTCGATCAACCTGATGGGCAAAACGCCCATAAAGGTATGCGGGACGTCTAACTTCACTGAATTCACATTGATTTGCACTGAAGTATTGGGAGATCTGGGCGTATGAAGTAAAACGTGATGACGACCATTGCAATCAGGTTTGGTGCAGCGACTCTTTGTACTACAAAAGATAGCTCGGTTACCTGGCCTCAAACATTTAAAGCATACTGCTGCTGTTCTAGCCACATCCAACCTTTCTTCGTAACACATAGACAGAAACTTATTGCATAATTCCAAACCGTGTTCGGCATGACAGACAGCACATTTCTCATCGAAGCGACCAGCTATGAGGTTTATTCTTCTCCTCGGTTCATACACGCGTTGCACATCTTCTTCCCGCTTCCATGGAGATGTGATCGTAGAAGTCACTCTTGAACGTAACAATAAGTGAATACCGAAAGACTTTCCTCTAAGAATACAGCTAGGTGCCTGAATGGAGGTCGTAATCCGTCTCGCCTTTTTCTCAGAGCTGCTTCGGCCCACTTCAATTGTAGGGCCTCTGGAAGGCGCCTAACAATACCTTTTATTGTAGTCGGGCAGTTAAGGATTGACTCGTAACCCATTTCTGCTAGGGAAATTTCGCTGGTGACAACCTGCCGTTCAAGCTTTCGCAGAGCGTTGACGTCACTTGCTCTGAGTCTACTCCCACTGCACAATTCATCCAGGAGACCTTCAGCGACATCATCCGGACATCCAAAATGGGTTTCCAAAATATGCATCCCCTGCGAGTATCCTTCTGACACGGGCAACAACACACAACCCCCAATAGCTTCTCTGGCTTCACCGACACAGAAATAAATCAATCAAGTAACAATCGCTCTCTATCATTGAGCAAGTGGCTAGCTACGTCTGCCGGTAGCCTGAATTGGCGATGCGTGATTACTTTTGGGAAAAATTTCCGATTCACATCGACTGGAGCAGTTGCTTGACATTCTTCAGGAAACGTTCTGACGGAGTCCAAATGGTTTTCCCGCGTGACCTTGGCTTGCACATGTGCTTCCGCTCCTTCATCACTAGTCTGCTGGCCGCCGAATACGCTTCGTCTTTCTAAGGACAGTTATCCCTGCCTTAATTTAAGCCTCTGCATCTCCAGCTCCAGTTCCTCGGCCTCTAACTGTTGCAGCCTACTAGTGCTACTGACCGACGACCGATTACTTGAGTTCTCATTAACTGCTTTATATGCCTTACTAGCCATGCCAAACAATGGAGAACGGGAAGAAAACTGCTTACCCACATTGTTTTCAGTGATAGACAGGATTGGGGAAGGAGGATCAGGGTTCACATCCACCGAATGTGATATATCCAGCGGTCCAGATTAGGTGAGCTTTTTCTGTTGGTTCCTTGTCATCGGCATTGTGTACGAGTACTGGTCCAATGCGTTCTCGTCAAAAAGAAATTGAATTGAGGTTTGTACCTGTGATTGTGATGTAACCATTATTTACCTGTAGTACCGCCTTTATTGGACGGTCGTAAATCAATCGTACCTAGTTCGATTCCGTCTTTTGGCTTGGCGCGTCACTCAACCTTGGCCTAGACCCCGAACAGATCTAATACTACTCAACGAATTGTAGTGTCTCGTCAAATCTATCATCGGACCTGGTCCTGTGTAATCCAAAGATCCCAATTAAAAGATAGTTGCAAACAGGGCAAGTCTTTATGGTGATTGTGAAAGCTCCAGGAGTCTCGGTGGGATTCGAACCCACACATGGACGCCGCCTATGCTTTGTACGCGCATGCTCTACCAGCTGAGCTACGAGGCCACACCGATAGCACTGATCTTCACATTCGATTTACCCATCCAGTTTACAGGGGCATATAGCATATAGCATCCACCAGCTGACTGCCCCGACAAGTTTTCCTTAGAATTCACCAGAGTTCACCGAATGAACATCTAAGACAAGGTTAATTGTACAAGTCTTTATTGGTAGTACCAGCTAAATGTGGATCGAAAAAGGATGAAACGTACGGTATATATGGGTTTGATCACAGTCTAATCATTTGTCCGGAATCGGGGTTGTAAGGGCGCCGATGGATAGAGTGCACAAATCGGGTTGCTACTCTCTGTTCGTTCGACTGACGACAGGGCATCCCTGACCCTCGAGCGAACGTCTACACCTTCTCACGGTAGCAGTTGATCCCAATCCATTTCAAATGCAAACCGCGAGAATTCTCAGGAGAAATTTAGGCTTCCCCTGTCACGAGTTTAAACGCTTATTACGATAACTAGATTACATCTTATTATTTAAGACAAAAAATGCAAAAGTAATCATACGCTCTATGGTTCCACATTTATAGTTTAGACAAACTAATAAAATTAAGTAGTACTCTTATATACTGTGATCACCAGAACACATGACCCGTCTGGAATAGGGCGTTCCTTACAGCAACGTGATTTAACCAACCTCTAAACATTATCGGTATTGCACGAATTCTTTTGGCGAGAAAGTTATTCGAACATATTCAAATTTACTGTGGCAAGCAGACGCTAAAACAGAAAGAGTGGCATCGGCAGTTAACATCAGGATCAGAGTGAGTAGGAATTAGTGTTCAAATCTGTACTACTTGAGGCACCCGTAGTTCGACAATCAGAATCCCACCCATAAACAGTTGCCACGATTCCGGACACCGACGAGCAACAATAAGGCGACAACAGTAGCGGCTCGTCAGTTGGGAGGGATGACAATTCTCTGCTTTCTCTGGTTCCAATTCTCTACTGTCCTTTTTCAAGGCCCCAGAAAACACCAACCGTGTCTCTCCGGTTGAGGTTCTCAAAGTTTTAAAGCAACCTAATTCAAACAAGGTCCACGGACCGAACTCATTAAACTCTATTTTACTGAAAACCTGTGCCGAACACCTTGCAACACCCGTTGCAGAGTTGTTTAAATTGTACATGTCCTCCGGAACAATCCCGCATTGCTTGAGGGTTACCCGGATAAGACCCATTGCCAGGAAGGGTTCTTCAAAATGTCGACCGATTGCATGTACCTCAGCCCTGTTGAAAGTATTGAAAGAGTGCTGTTGAACCGATTGACTACCCTTTATGATGTTCTTGATCCTCTTCAACTTGTTTATAAGCAAGCTCTTTCAACTGTAGACGCTGTCACATATGTTGTCCATTCTGTGACCTCAGTTTCAGACAAGTGTACTGAAACTGTTCACTTTATATTTCTTGACTATGCCAACGCCTTTGGTTCGCCGCATTCTCATTCAACGTGTTGCTGACTGCAGCTTAGGCGCCGACGTGTTAAATGCTCCTGTAGACTACTTCTCCTTTAGGACGTAACTGATCTCATGCAATGATAAAATGTCGTCGTCTTCTTATGTTAACTCTAGTGTCTTTGAGGTTGTCATATGTCTCTCTTCTTTTTCCCTGTTCATAAACAACCTGCTTGTCCCTACGAACTTTACTGCCTATATGCTGACGATGTGGTGATTTGGTGCCCTCCCATCCAATAATGATGCATCTTTCCATCAACTTCAAGGCAGTTTGGAAGACGTTTTATTTGGTCTCTACCCCAATCACTCATGCTTAATGTTTCCAAAAATGCTGACGTTCCATTCAGCGCTAAATGTGGCTCCCGTTATCAAACTACCTTTAATGATTTACCGGACCTCGTCATTAGCAGTCACAACATTCCCATAAATGACTCTGTTAAATTCCTCGGAGTCTTTCTATCCCACAGTCTCTCTTGGACTAGACATGTAGAGAACGTTTACAACAGGGTTCGTAAACTTTCCTTTTATGCTCTCAGGTTTAAGAAGCTTGCTGTTCCCCCAAAATTGATTTTCAAATTCGTGATAGCATGCATCCTCCCTCATTGGGTGTACTGTTCCTTTTGTTTTTTCCCCGGCCTGAAAGAAAGGGGTTTCATATTTCCATATCCATAAAAATCCTGTTCCGATGTAGTTTAATAGCCAGAGATGTCCTGGTCGATTTTATTGTGTGCAAACATATTGATGCGTTTGAAAGAATAGCCGATAGAATCTTGAACAACTAAGATCACTGCTTGCACAACGAACTTCTTTAGCCCATGTCAAACCCCCATACCCGCTCCCATTATAGGCTCCCTCCCACACGTACCGTCACATACAGAAGCATTATCCTCCCTTTTCTTTCCCGCTTTTAAGTTAATCGAGCACCAATTATTACAGGTCTGGTTAAACACCTCATGAATTAGTTTATTTATTAATTTTAATCTATCACTATCGTCTTCTTGCTTTCAGCGTTCTGTCGTTTTTGTTTACCCTATTCACACTCTGATGCGATCCTCCCCCCCACTCCCATAGTATTATCATGAAAATTCGCTGAAAATTCACCCATCAGGTGCATGCAGCTTACTTTTACTTGAAACCTAATAAATAATGCATACCACTCCAGATCATAGATTCAGTGCTTATTATCCATTTAGTCTCTGTTTATGCTGTTGTGTTACTCTTAATCATACCACAGTTAACTTTCTTGGTACGAATTGCTTACTGCCTATTGGCTTTGAGGCAACTGTAAAGTATGGTTTCCCTGACACGATGCTGCTATTATTATCTTAGCGTGTTTACTTTTCACGCTGACCTTTTGGTACATGCTTTTGTTCTCTCTGTCTTGCGATTGTATTGCAAACCTCAACCCAGGGAAACCGACCTGCCAGTTACTCCTCACCGTCCAAGGAGTAACTGGAGTCTGTTGAGTCTCTTAGCGTCCGGCACCACTGAGAATACAAGTCGGGGGCTTTCTTGTTGACTCTAGTGATCATTGCGAGCCAGGAGTGCGTTCACACAACAGCTCAGGAATCGCATAGCTTCAGATGAATGCAAAATCAAACCACCAGTACCCCAACTATTCATCCACATTGCCAATAAAGCACGGATTTGCGAACATCTTCGTTTCCATCAATTTGTAAATGTGCCTGTATATAAAAAGGTGCGTCACTAGGCAAATAGAAGTGTCTTGGGGAAGTGTAATGATCGTAGTAGTAGTAGTAGTGATAGTAATACGC